TGTTTACTCGAATATTACTGCATACTGGTGCGCTAATAATTTCTAGAAAGATCTAATCTTTGGAAAGTCGAAATTTTATAAAAATAGTCGCATATTTATGTCAGGATTGGCAAGCAGATGATAGGATTGGTGTGCTAACGTATTTTATGTTGTTCGCTTCATTCGTCTTTAACGTATTCATATTATGCTACATCGGCGAGCTCCTCACGGAAAAGGTATATTTTTATATCTAATTAGCAGTTGAACTCTGTTGAACGGTTTGTTGAGTAAGTAGTCGCGACTAATATTACAGAGCAGCGAAATTGGAATTATGTGTTGTTTGATCAATTGGTACCAACTGCCACCACGATCANTCATGTCCAGCCATCCAATAAAAATCAGTGCTTGTAAAATGGTGGATCTATCTTTGACAACTTTCGGAAATGTGAGATACTGTTTTTTTGATATAATCATATTTTTTATTCAAATGTATATCGTATAGATCGATAATTATGGCATTACTTTCACAGAGGACTTTTTATCTTATAATAATAATAAAGTAATAGATTTTATTCGGAATGCAACTAAATTGTAACTCAAAAAAAGTCAAGTATTATTTTTGCATGTTGCTTTTAGGTGATTAAAACTTCTTTGGCGTATTTGAGCTTCTTGCGAACATTAGTAATGTAAATATAATTGAAATAATATTGCTGATATACTAAGGAAATGATTTGTATTTTATAATGACTCCCTCTCACCTGCTTAATATAGAAAACCATCATAGTTATTATTATAATATTACCTCGATCTCAAAAAATGAATGTTATCCAGATATCTATTTATTTTCTCCTGATTTTCTCCACTGTTGACAAACCATCCATGCGTATATGCATTAGTAAAATTACTTAAGAAATATTCCATTGTTACCACATTTTACTCAAATAATTTCATCTTGACGTTAATTATTATTGAAGACATTAAACAACGAGTAGACACTTCAATTATCTCCAAAATTACACATTGAAAAACATTACGTTAACTTTCATTTCTCAAATTCATTAACTTTATTTTAACCTGCCCCACTTCTCAAATCCATCTCCATTTGCAATTGTTCGAACGTTACGCAATTAACAACGAAGAACGGCAATGCTTCGTTAATCTAGAGCCACCGGGACGTAAGGTACTCTTTACACAACTACTTCTCGATAATAGTATTCACATGATCTGTTAATCTATCCGTCAGGCGAAGGTATGGTTGCATCATTGCGCATGTCCGACGACCTTGTAATCAATGCCGCCTCTCCGCGTCGTACAGTCTTCAACTAAACCTTTTATCGCGAACATGGAGATCTCGAGCAATGGACAAACGACATCGTTGAACGCGAGTTACCAGAGAGATGTGCGATACATTTTTACACCCAGCAGTTGGATTCTCGGTTCGATCGGTATCTGGCCGATCGCGTTCCGAGGCATTGGACGACACATTTCTAAAATCTCTATTTTCACCTGTAATTTTGTACTAAGTTTCGCGATGGTGCCCTGCGCCTTACATATAATTTACGACCAGAAGGACCTCAACATAAGGCTCAAACTCTCCGGACTCTTGGGCTTCTGCAGCACTGCGATGATAAAGTTCTTCGTTCTCGTGATACATCGTCCAAAAATACGAAAGTGTATCGAATATGTGAAGGACGATTGGTGGCAGGTTGGTGTTATTTATGCATAAAATAAAAGTTCCGAAAGCTGCAGACGGATGCTCTTTACAAGATGCTGAAGTGTGACGGTGCTTTCCATCGTAAAAAAGCGCGCGGTGTTTGAAGCCGTTCTATGTGATTTGTAAGTGATCGGTTTTCTATTCATTAGAGGAATAATTTCTTTATCTTTGTAAACGTCAGTCTGTTTCATGCAAATGTAATTTCGCTATCTTATTCAAATTATAGTTATTCAAACATTTCATATTTCCGTAATCACATTTATGCCACAATCTTTCAGTGTTAATCCGATCTAATTTTACATGATTTCGACAATTATTGTTTTTTATTTAAAATTACGACTCATACGTGGACCGATAATTTTTTTTTTATTAATTTTTCCTTTATCAGTCTCAAATTCAGAGGTGAAAAGTTCTTCTCGTACCTAAGTTTCCGCTTCTATTGGATATATTAGACCAGTGTTTGGAATTATTTGTATAAACGAGGCAATTTGCAAGATCCACACATGTTTCTTCCCTTATCGATCCAATGCGCCTGATGGACCATGCAACTGACAGTCGACCCGCAAACTGGAGCTGCAATGAGAACAAAGTAGTCATACCTCGAAAATCGCCTCGTTTATACAAATATGCAATTTAACAAACTTCTGATAAAATTATTACAAAATTTCATCCATCTCATAATATATGATCAGTAGCAGTTAGTGCTGTTTCTTTCTCTATATAGATAACATTATTGGAACATATATTGTGACAGGTGAAGTTCAAGTCCGACCGCGAACGCATGCTGAAGTACGCCGGCATCAGTCGTAATCTATCTTTAATCTGCACGACTACCATGTATTCCGCCGGCTTCATTTATCATTTGATCCTGCCGTTTTGCACCGAGCACAAATTCGGCAACGAAACCATCAGACCGCTTGTGTACCCCACTTACAGCGAATTTAGTCAAAGCCAGATAAGCCCGACATACGAAATAGTATATATGTTCCATTGTATGTGCGGATATACTATACACACGGTCACAGTCGGGACATGTTTATTGGCAGCGATATTTGCTACTCACGCCTGTGGCCAGATTCAAGTGGTTTTATCTCGTCTGGAAGATCTTTTGGACGGTAAAAACTTTGAGCGAATTCCAAACGTCCAGCAACGCATCGCCGCCATCGTGAAGAGCCACGTTCAAATAATGAGGTAATATTTTGCAATATTTAAATTATCGTTTATATCAGTTTAAACGATCGTTTATATTTTAACAATAAAGCTCATCTTAAGATTTACTAAATGTATTTCGTTGTTACGTGTTAGAATTTTGTCAAATGCAATTTTCAATAGCGCTAATTACCAATTATTATTTATATATTTATATTACTTTGACCGCTTTTTATTTTCCCTTGAAAATTACGGATTGTCGCATAAATTTTTTCAAAAAAATCGTTGCGGTCCTATGACAGTTGCTTTACTTGACCGTGACCAACAGTGTGAATGCCAAGTCGAAAAAGCATTGAACTTAATAGAAACAATATTTAACCGAATCATTATCTGACCATGATTTGATCATGACTTGACCGATAGTCAATCACATATTATATGCTATAACACTGTATGAGACAGTTTATACTAAATTTATCGTACAAATTAAGATAACATATTCCAGATTTACAACAGTTGTGGAGGAAATTCTGCAAGAAGTTTGTTTGGTTGACTTCACCAGCTCTATATGCATAATTTGTTTACTCGAATATTACTGCATACTGGTGCGCTAATCATTTCTAGAAAGATTTAATTTTTAGAAAGTCGAAATTTTATAAAAAATAGTCATATTTTTATATTATGTTAGGATTGGCAAGAAAATGATAGGATCGGTCTAATAACGTATTTTATGTTGTTCGTCTCATTCGTCTTTAACGTGTTCATATTATGTTACATCGGCGAGCTCCTCATGGAAAAGGTATTTTTACATCTGATGCATAGTGTATCATATTGACCGTTTGTTGAGTAATCAGTCGCGGTTAATGTTACAGAGCAGCCAAGTTGGAATAGTGTGTTGTTTGATCAATTGGTATCAACTGCCACCACGATCAACTCGCGATCTTATACTGATAATTGCAATGTCTAGCCATCCCATAAAAATAAGTGCTTGTAGAATGATGGATCTATCGTTGGCAACATTTGCAAATGTGAGATAGTGTTTTTTTCATCAATCCTATTTTTTATTAAAATGTACATCATATAAATCGATAATTATAGCATTACTTTCACAGTGAACATTTTATCTTTTAATAATAGACCAATAGATTTTATTCTGAAAGAAATTAAATTGTAACTGACAAAAATGTCAAATATTATTTTTGCACGTTGATTTTAGGTGATTAAAACTACTTTGGCGTATTTGAGCTTTTTGCGAACATTAGTAATGTAAATATAATTGAAATAATATTACAGATATTCTAAAGAATTGTTTTATATTTTATATTACTCCCTTCTCACCTGCTTATTATAGAAAGCCATCATGCAAATTATTATAATATTATCATGATCTCGGAAAATAAACAGTGTCCAGATATTTATTTATTTTCTCTTTGTTTTCTCCATTGTCGACAAACCATTCATGCGTATATGGATTAGTAAAATGGACAAAGAAATATTTTATTGTTTCTATGTTTTGCATAAAGAACTTAATATTGATCAATTCATGCTGCAGACATTAAACGACAATTAATTTTTACAACTATTTCCAAATTACACTTTAAAAAAATTACGTAAATTTTCACTTAAATCCATCTCTATTTGGAACTGTTCGAACGTGACTAAATTCACGACAAAGAGCTGCGTTGCTTTTTTAATCTGAAACCAACTGCATACAAGGTACGCTACACACTACTTCCCGGTAATAATATCCACATGATCTGTCAATCTGTCCGTTAGACGAAAAGGTCGTTGCAACGTTAGCGCATGTCCGGCAACCTTGTAATCAATGCCGCGTCTCCGCGTCGTGCAGTCTTCAGCGGAACCTCTCAAAGCGAACATGGAGATCTCACACGATGGACGAACAACATCGTTGAACGCGAGTTACCAGCGTGATATACGATTCATCTTTACGCCCAGCAACTGGACTCTCGGTTCGATCGGCATCTGGCCGATCGCATTCCGAGGCATCGGACAACACATTTCTAAAATATCAATCTTCACCTGCAATTTTGTACTAAGCTTCGCTATAGTGCCCTGCGCCCTACATATGATTTACGACCAAAAGGACATCAATATAAGGCTCAAGCTTACCGGACTTTTGGGCTTCTGCAGCACCGCAATGATAAAGTTCTTCGTTCTTGTAATACGTCGTCCAAAAATACAAAAGTGTATCGAGCATGTGAAAGACGATTGGTGGCAGGTTGGTGTAATTTAAGCCTAAAATAAAAATTCCGAGAGCTACAGACAGATAATCTTTATAAATTGCTGAACAGTGACAGTGCTTTCCATCGCAAGAAATCGTGTCGTTGGAGCTGTTTATAGTGAATTTTAAGTGATCAATTTTTCATTAATTCTAAGAATAATTTCTATGCTCTTGTAAACGACAATCAGTTTTATGCAATTCGCGTTATTATCCCTTTAGTTAGTCAAAGATTTCATATTTTTGTAAACAATTTTATGCTAGAATGCTTTAATGTTAATCCGCAATTATTGTACATTTAATTTGATAAATTATTTTTATAATATGTAACATTATCACTCATATGGTACGCGGTCTCAATATGAATAGCATTACTAGTACATATACTGTGACAGGTGAAGTTCAAGTCTGACCGCGAACGCATGCTGAAGTACGCCAGCATCGGTCGTAACCTATCTTTAACCTGCACGACTGCCATGTATTCCGCCGGCTTTATTTATCATTTAATTCTGCCGTTTTGCACCGAGCACAAAATCGGTAATGAAACCATCAGACCGCTCGTGTACCCCACTTACAGCGGATTTAGACAAAGCCAGATAAGCCCGATATACGAAATAGTATATGTGGCCCATTGTATGTGCGGATATACTATATACACGGTCACAATCGGAACATGTGGATTGGCAGCAATATTTGCTATGCACGCCTGTGGCCAGATTCAGGTGGTTTTATCTCGCCTGGAAGATCTCTTAAACGGTAAAAACTTTGAGCGAATTCCAAACGTCCAACAACGCATCGCCGCCATCGTGAAGAGTCACATTCAAGTAATGAGGTAATATTTTCCAATATTTAAATGGTATAAAATCATACATAGAAATTTAAATAATACGTTTTATATTTAAACAATAATGCCATTTTAAAGTCTGGTATATGTATTTCTTCGTTACGTATTAGAATTTTGTTAATTGAAATTTTCAATAATGGCTATTATAGTTATAAAAAGTTTTTAAGCTGCGTTATTTCTGTCACTTAATTTGCATGATTCTTAATGTTTGCATGTATAAGGAATGTAAAACAAAGAACGAAAACGCAACAGGTGATGTCAAGGAACCTGCAGTACTCTACACTGTAGAGTCTATAGTAAGCGGTGGCATTGCGTGTCATGCAACGCGCTTACATGCAGTATGATAGTCATTACATATCCGACCTGTAATTTACATTGCATATTTCTACTGTGTAGCACTGAATGTGCGGTTAAGGCCGATTCCTACTGACGCAATTAAACACGAACAAATCACAGTCAAATTCTCGTCATGGACCTTTTATATATATATATTTTATCTGACTTGTAATCTGATCGTGATTTGACTGATTGTAAATCTCGCATTAAATATTATAACTATATGAGTCAGTTCATTCTAAATTTATCGTAAAAATTAGGATAACTTATTTCAGATTTGCGGCAATTGTGGAGGAAATTCTACAAGAAGTTTGTTTGGTTGACTTTACTAGCTCTGTATGCATAATCTGTTTACTCGAATATTATTGCATACTGGTGCGCTAATAATTTCTAAAACGATTTAGTTTTTTGAAATATTATAAAAAATAGTTAAATTTTTATATTATGTCAGGATTGGCAAACAAATGATAGGATTGGTCTATTAACGTATTTTATGTTGTTGGTCTCATTCATCTTTAACACGTTTATATTGTGCTACATTGGCGAGCTACTGATGGAAAAGGTATATTTTTATATCTGACGTAAATGTATCTTATTAAACGTTTGTTGAGTAATCAATCGCGGTTAATGTTACAGAGCAGCCAAGTTGGAATAATGTGTTGTTTAATGAATTGGTATGAACTGCCGCCACAATCGGCTCGCGATCTTATATTAATAATCGCCATGTCTAGCCACCCCATAAAAATCAGTGCTTGTGGAATGCTGGATCTATCTTTGACAACTTTTGGAATTGTGAGATAGTGTTTTTTTCTATAATCCTATTTTTCACTCAAATATTATTGTATAAGTCGATAATTATAGTATCACTTTCACAGTGGACTTTTTAACGTGTAATAATATAGAAAATATATTTTATTCTGAAAGCAACTAAATTGTGGCTCAAAAAAATGTCAAGCATTAATTTGCATTTTTATTTTAGATGATTAAAACTACTTTGGCGTATTTGAGCTTCTTGCGAACATTAGTAATGTAAATGTAAATATAATTCCAATTATATCGCTGATTCATTGAGGAATTATTTTGTATTCTATATTGATACCTTCTTACCTGCTTACTATAGAAAGACATAATGCCAAACATTATAATATTACCTCAGTTTCGAAAAATGAATGAGGTCCAGATATTCATTTCGCTTCTCCTAATTCTCTTCATTGTCGCCGAAACATCAATGCGTATATGTATTAATATAATTGTCATAAAGAAATGATCCAATGTTTACACGTTTTACAAAAATAATTTAATCTTGACATTAGTTAATACCGCAGGCACTAAGCAACAATTAGTATCTTCAAATGTTTCCAAAATTTCACTTTCAAAACATTACGTTATCTTTCACTTCTTAAATTCTTTGACTTTATTTTTATTAATCTCACTTCTCAAATTAAATTCAATTTGGTATTTTTGGAACGTGACACAATTCACAACGAAGAACAGTTATGTTTCTTTAACTTAGAGACTTCGGAATATACGTTTCGCTCTACACTACTCCCCGGTAATAGTATCCACATGATCTGTCAATCTGTCCGTCAGACGATAAGGTCGTTGCAACGTAAGCGCATGTCCGGCAGCCTTGTAATCAATGCCGCGTCTCCGCGTCGTGCAGTCTTTAGCGGAACCTCTTATCGCGAACATGAAGATCTCACACGATGGACAAGCAACATCGTTGAACGCGAGTTACCAGCGTGATATAAGATACATATTTACGCCCAGCAAATGGATTCTCGGCTCCATCGGCATCTGGCCGATCACGTTTCGGGGCATTGGACAACACATTTCTAAAATATTAATCTTCACCTGTAATTTTGTACTAAGCTTCGCTATAGTGCCCTGCGCCCTACATATGATTTACGACCAGAAGGACATCAATATAAGGCTCAAGCTCACCGGACTCTTGGGCTTCTGCAGCACTGCTATGATAAAGTTCTTCGTTCTTGTGATACGTCGTCCAAAAATACGGAAGTGTATCGAGTATGTGAAGGACGATTGGTGGCAGGTTAGTGTTAATTAAGCGTAAAATAAAAATTCCGAAATCTACAGGCGGATAATCTTTATAAGATGCTGAGAAGTGACAGTGGTGTCCATCGCAAAAAATCGGGTGGCGTATGGAGCCGTCAAACTGATTTTAAGTGATCAATTTTTCATCCATCCTATGAATTATTTCTATACATTTGTAAACGACAGTCAGTTTTATGGAATTATAATTTTGCTTTATTATCTCTTTAGTTACTCAAACATTTCATATTTTCGTAATCAACTTTATGCTAGAATGTTTTAATGTTAATCCGCGCTATTTGCATATATAATTTTGATAAATAATTTTTATAATATGTAACAATGCGTCTCATATGGTATGCGGTCTCAATATGGATAGCATTACTGGTATATATACTGTGACAGGTGAAGTTCAAGTCTGACCGCGAACTCATGCTGAAGTACGCCAGCATCGGTCGTAATCTATCTTTAACCTGCACGACTACCATGTATTCCGCCGGCTTTATTTATCATTTAATTCTGCCGTTTTGCACCGAGCACAAACTCGGTAATGAAACCATCAGACCGCTCGTGTACCCCACTTACAGCAAATTTAGACAAAGCCATATAAGTCCAACATACGAAATAATATATGTGGCCCACTGTATATGCGGATATACTATAGACACAATCACAATCGGAACCTGTGGGTTGGCAGCAATATTTGCTATGCACGCCTGTGGCCAGATTCAAGTGGTTTTATCTCGTCTGGAAGATCTCTTAAACGGTAAAAACTTTGAGCAATTTCCAAACGTCCAGCTACGCATCGCCGCCATCGTGAAGAGTCACGTTCAAGTAATGAGGTAATATTTAACAATATTTAAATGATATAAAATTATTCGTAGCAATTTAAATAATTATTTATACTTAAACATTAATGCTATTTTAATGTCTACTAAATGTTTTTTTTCGTTACGTATTAGAATATTGTCAATTGCAATTTTCAATAATGGCTATTATAGCTATCAAATGTTTTTAAATTTAGTTATTTCTGTTATTTCATTTGCATGATTATTAATGTTTGCGTGTATAAGGAATGTAAAACAATGAACGAAAACGCAACAGGTGATGTCAAGGATCCTCCAGTACTCTACACTGTAGGGTCTATAGTACGCGGTAACATTGCGGGTCTTGCAACACGCTTACAATCATATACGATAGTCATTATATATCCGACCCGTAATTTACGTTGCATATTTCTATTGTGTAGCACTGTATGTGCAGTTGAAGCCGATCCCTACTGACGCAATCAAAACACGAACAGATCACAGTCAAATTGTCGTCATGGATCTTTGATATATATATATATATATATTATATGACTTGTAATCTGATCGTGATACGATTGATAGTAAATCGCAAATTAAATATTATAACTATCTGAGACAGTTTATTCTAGATTTATCGTACAAAACTAGGATAACTTATTTCAGATTTGCAGCAAATGTCGACGAAATTCTACAAGAAGTTTGTTTGGTTGACTTTACTAGCTCTGTATGCATAATTTGTTTACTCGAGTATTACTGCATACTGGTGCGCTTATAATTTCTAAAAAGATTTGGTCTTTTGTAATATTATAAAAAGTAGTTAAATTTTTATTTTATATCAGGATTGGCAAGCAAATGATAGGCTTGGTCTACTAACGTATTTTATGTCTTTCGTCTCATTCGTCTTTAACGCGTTCATATTATGCTACATCGGCGAGCTTCTCATTGAAAAGGTATATTTTTATATCTGATGGAAAATGTATCTTATTGAACGTTTGTTGAGTATTTAATCGCGATTAATGTTACAGAGCAGCCAAGTTGGAATAATGTGTTGTTTAATCAATTGGTATCAACTGCCGCCACGGTCAGCTCGCGATTTTATACTAATTATCGCCATGTCGAGCCACCCCATAAAAATCAGTGCTTGTAAAATGGTAGATATATCGCTGTCAACTTTTGGATATGTGAGATATTGTTTTTTTCTATAATCCTATTTTTCACTCAAATATTATTGTATAAATCGTTAATTGTAGTATCACTTTCACAGTGGGCTTTTTAGCGTGTGATAATGTATCAATATATTTTATTCTGAAAGCAACTAAATTGCAACTCAAAAAAATGTAAAGCATTAATTAGCATTTTTATTTTAGATGATTAAAACTACTTTGGCGTATTTGAGCTTCTTGCGAACATTAGTAATGTAAATATAATTCAAATAATATCGCTGATTCATTGAGCAATTATTTTGTATTTTATATTGGTACCCTCTCAGCTGCTTACTATAGAAAGACATAATGTAAAATATTGTAATAATACCTCAGTCTCGAAAAATGAATGATGTCCAGATATTCATTTCGCTTCTCCTAATTCCCTCCATTGTCGACGAAACATCCATGCGTATATACATTAATAAAATTTTCATAAAGAAATGATTCATTGTTTACACGTTTTACAATAATAATTTAATCTTGACATTAGTTAATACCGCAGGCACTAAGCAACAAATAGTATCTTCAAATGTTTCCAAAATTTCACTTTCAAAACATTACGTTATCTATCACTTCTTAAATTTTTTGACATTATATTGATCAGTCTCACATCTCAAATTAAACTCAATTAGGAATTGTTGTAATGTGACTCAATTCACAACGAAGAACGGTAATGCTTCTTTAACTTAGAGCCTTCGGGATATACATTACGCTCTACACTACTCCCCGGTAATATTATCCACATGATCTGTCAATCTGTCCGTCAGACAAAGATGTCGTTGCAACGTCAGCGCATGTCCGGCGACTTTGCAATCAATGCCGCGTCTCCGCGTCGTACAGTCTTCAGCGGAACCTCTCATCGCGAACATGGAGATCTCACCCGATAGACAAGCGACATCATTGAACGCGAGTTACCAGCGAGATGTACAGTACATCTTTACACCCAGCAACTGGATTCTCGGTTCTATAGGCATCTGGCCGATCCCGTTCCGAGGCATTAGACATCACATTTCTAAAATATCAATCTTCACCTGTAATTTCGTATTAAGCTTCGCGATGGTGCCCTGCGCTCTACATATCATTTATGACCAGAAGGACCTCAACATAAGACTTAAGCTCTCCGGACTCTTGGGCTTCTGCGGCACCGCGATGTTAAAGTTCTTCGTTCTCGTGATACGTCGTCCTAAAATACGGAAGTGTATCGAGTATGTGGAGGACGATTGGTGGCAGGTTGGTGTTATTCATGCGTATAATAAAAGTTGCAAAACCTACAGACGGATGTTCTTTACAAGATGCTGAGAAGTGAAAGTGCTTTTCATCGCAAAGAGCACGTCGAGCCGTCCAAAGTGATTTTTTAGTGATTGGTTTTCCATTCATTTTAAGATTAATTTCTCTACCCTTGTAAACGTCAGTCTGTTTTATGCAACTGTAATTTTGCTATATTGTTCCTATATTTATTCAAATATATCATATTTTCGTAATCAACTTTATGCCAGGATGTTTTAGTGTTAATCTGCGCTAATTGTTTAATTTTTACAATTAGTTTTTCATATTTAAAATTACGACTCATATATCGGCCGGTAATTTCTTCTTATTAATTTCTCCTCTAATAATCTTAAATTAACAAGTAAAAAGTTCTTGCACCTGAGTTTCCCGTTTCCATTGGATATATTAATCCAGTGCTTGGAATTATTTGTATAACATAGCTTAATATTAGTTGACGTTACAAAAAGTAAACCTCTCGCGAAATCGTCTCTAAATTTTTCCATCCATTTCATAATATATGATCAATAGCAGTTAGTGCTGTTTGTTTCTCGATATAGATAGCATTACTGGAAATACTGTGACAGGTGAAATTCAAGTCCGACCGCGAACGCATGCTGAAGTACGCCGGCATCGGTCGTAATTTATCTTTAATCTGTACGACTACCATGTATTCCGCCGGCTTCATTTATCATTTGATCCTGCCGTTTTGCGTCGAGCACAAACTCGGTAATGAAACCATCAGACCGCTTGTGTACCCCACTTACAGCGAATTTAGTCAAAGCCATATAAGTCCGACATACGAAATAGTATATATGGCCCATTGTATGTGCGGATATACTATATACACGGTCACAGTTGGGACGTGCGGATTGGCAGCGATATTTGCTACTCATGCCTGTGGCCAGATTCAAATGGTTTTATCTCGCCTTGAAGATCTCTTGGACGGTAAAAACTTTGATCAAATTCCGAACATCCAGCAACGTATAGCCGCCATCGTGAAGAGTCACGTTCAAGTAATGAGGTAATTTTTTCCAATATTTTAAAGAATATAAAATCATTTGTTACCATTTAAATGATTATTTATATTTAAATGATAAAGCGCATTTTAATATCTATTAAATGTATTTTTTCGTTACATACTAGAATTTTATTAATTGCAATTTTCAATAATGCTAATTGTCGATTTTTATATGAGAAAGTTTTCAAATTGCACTACTTCAAGTATGTAATTTGATTAATCATTAATGTTTTCTTTTGTAATTAATGCAAAACAGAACAAAAATACAACAGGTGTCCTCGACGAACCTCCAGTACTCTATGCTATAGAGCCTACTATAATAAGCGTGGCATTGCGTGTCATGCAACGCGCTGATATCAGCACGATAATCATTATTCACCCGACTTGTAATTTACGTTGCGAATTTCTACCTATAGCACTGAATGAGCAATTAAGGCCGATTGCCACTATGTAGTCGAAACATAGTCACAGTCAATTTACGGTTATGGATTTTTGCCGACATTCTCGCTATTCTGTTATCTGATGATCTTCCGGCGGTCAGTCTTGCATAACCATTAATATCAAGACATTATTTTAAAATCTTATCAATAATTTCAGTTATTGAAGCGCTTTAATTTTGGATGACGAAGAACAATATATGAATGCAAACTCGAAAAATCATTCAATGTAATAGAAACAACATTTGATTGGGCCATTATCTGACCGCAACCTGATCGTGAATTGACCGATAGTGAATTGCGCATTGTACGGCCATATAGTAACAATATATGAGACATTTTATTCTGAATTTATTGCACAAAGTAGGATAACTTATTTCAGATTTGCAGCAGTTGTGGAGGAAGTTCTACAAGAAATTTGTTTGGTTGAATTTACTAGCTCTTTATGCACAATTTGTTTACTCGAATATTACTGCATACTGGTGCGCTAATAATTTCTAGAAAAATTAAATCTTTGGAAAGTTAAAATTTTTTTAAAATAGTCGTATTTTTATATCATATCAGGACTGGCAAGCAAATGATAGGGTTGGTCTACTAACGTATTTTATGTTGTTGGTGTCATTCGTCTTTAATGTATTCATATTATGTTACATCGGCGAGCTCCTCATGGAAAAGGTATATTTTTACATATAATGGTCAGTTTAACTCGTTGAACGTTTGTTGAATGATCAGTAGGGATTAATGTTACAGAGCAGCCAAATTGGAATAATGTGTTGTTTGATCAATTGGTATCAACTTCCGCCGCGATCAGCTCGCGATCTTATACTGATAATCGCCATGTCCAGCCATCCCGTAAAAATCAGTGCTGGTAGAATGGTGGATCTATCTTTAACAACTTTCGGAAATGTAAGATACTGCTTTTATAATCTCATTTTTCATTCAAATGTACATCGTATAAATCCATAATTATGTAGCAAAATACTAGATTCTAAAGACAATTTAAGTATAAATTAAAGAGTAAATTAAATAAACATCAACAAAAATTAATTATTATTTTAGCACATTTATTTTAGGTGATTAAAACTTCTTTGGCATATCTGAGCTTCCTGCGAACACTAGCAATGTAAATATAATTGAAATAATATTGCTGAAACACTAAGGAATTGTTTTGTATTATATAGTAGCTACCTTTCACCTGTTTATATAGAAAGTTAATATATAAAGCCATAATGTAAATTATTATTACATTATCTCGATATCGAAAAATAAATAATATCCACATAATCATTTTTTTCCTTCTAATTTTCTTTACTGTTAACGAACCATCCATGCGTAGAGGCATTAATAAAATTATCACAAAGAAGTGTTCCATTGTTTCCATGTTTTACAAAAATAATTTAATCTTGATATAAATTACTACTGAAAACACTAAGCAACAAGTAATTTCTACAAATTTATCCAAAATTTTACCTTGAAAAACATTACATTAACTTTCACTTCTCAAAGTCATTAACTTTATTTTGATCTACCTCATTTCTCAAATTCATCTCTATTTGAAATTACTTGAACGTGACTCAGTTCACAAGGAAGAGCGGAAATGCTTCTGTAATATAGAGCCAGCGGGATATAAAGTACACTTTACACAACTACTTCCCGGTAATAGTATTCACCTGACCCGTCAATCTGTCCGTCAGGCGAAGGGTTGGCTGCAACGTCAGCGCATGTCCGGCGACCTTGTAATCAATGCCGCGTCTCCGCGTCGTGCAGTCTTCAGTGGACCTTCTCATCGCGAACATGGGGATCTTACGCGATAGACAAGCTATATCATTGAACGACAGTTACCAGCGAGATGTGCGATACATTTTTGCACCCAGCAGCTGGATTCTCAGCTCGATTGGTATCTGGCCGATCGTATTCCGAGGCATCGGACAACACATTTCTAAAATCTCTATCTTCACCTGTAATTTTGTATTAAGCTTCACGATAGTGCCCTGCGCCCTACATATTATTTGTGACCAGAAGGACCTCAACATAAGGCTCAAGCTCTCGGGATTCTTGAGCTTCTGCGGTACCGCGATGATAAAGTTTTTCGTTCTCGTAATACGTCGTCCAAAAATACGAAAGTGTATCGAACATATAAAAGACGATTGGTGGCAGGTTGGTGTTATTTATGCGTAAAATAAAAGTTGCAAAAGCTACAGACGGATGCTCTTTACAAAATGCTAAGGAGTATCATTACTTTCTGTCGCAAGAAAACACGTGGAGCCGTTCAAAGTGATTTTTATGTGATCGATTTTCTATTCATTGGAGGAATAATTTCTGTACCCTTATAAACGTCAATCTGTTTTATGTAATTGTAATTTCGTTATATCATTCCCATAATGATTCAAACATTTCATATTTTCGTAATTAACTTTATGTCAGGATCAATTTCAAAGTTAGTCCGCGCTAATTGTATAATTTTGATAATTATTTTTTTAATATTTATCTCGCAAAACCGTCTCTAAATTACCTCCTCCATCGCATAATATATGATCAGTAGCAGTTAGTGTTGTTTGTTTCTCGATGTAGATAGCATTACTGGAAATACTGTGACAGGTGAAGTTCCAGTCCGACCGCGAACGCATGCTGAAATATGCCGGCACCGGACGTAATCTATCTTTAATCTGCGCTACTGCCATGTATTCCCCCGGCGTCATTTATCACTTCATCTTGCCATTTTGCACCGAGCACAAACTCGGTAATGAAACCATCAGGCCGCTTGTGTACCCCGTTTACAGCGAATTTAGACAGAGCCAGATAAGCCCAACATATGAATTAGTATATGTGGCCCAATGTATGTGCGGATATACTATGTACACTATCACAGCCGGAACGTGTGGATTGGCAGCGATATTTGCTACTCACGCCTGTGGCCAGATTCAAATGGTTTTGTCTCGACTGGAAGATCTTTTGGACGGTAAAAGCTTTGAGCAAGTTCCGAACGTTCAGCAACGCATCACCGCTATCGTGAACAGCCACATTCAAATAATGAGGTAATATTGTGCAATATTTAAATGGCCGCTTATACCAGTTTAAGTGACTATTTATATTTAAACAATAAAGCGCATTTTATTATGACCGTTGCTTGACTTGTCCGAGACGAACATATGAATGCTCGAAAAAGGACTCGGAAAAGCATTGATCTATTAGAAACAATATTTGAAACCATTATCTGTCCGTTATCTGACCGTGATTTGATCGTGATCTGACTAATAGTAAATCGTGCACTATATGCTATATAATAACAATATTTGACGCAGTTTATTCTGAATTCACCGTTCAAACTAGAATAACTTATTTTAGATTTGCAGCAATCGTGGAAGAAGTTCTACAAGAAGTTTGTTTGGTTGAATTTAGTAGTTCCATGTGCACAATTTGCTTACTCGAGTATTACTGCATACTGGTGCGCTAATAATTTCTAAAAACATTTAATTTGTGGAAAGTCGAAATTTTATAAAATATAGTCGTTTTTATATCATGTCAGGATTGGCAAGCAAATGATAGGCTTAGTCTGCTAATATATTTTATGTTGCTCATCTCATTCGTCTTTAACGTATTCATATTATGCTACATCGGCGAACTTCTCGTGGAAAAGGTATATTTTTACATGTAATGGACAGTGTATTTTGTTGAACATTTGTTGAGTAATTAGGCACGATTAATATTACAGAGCGGCCAAATTGGAATAATGTGTTGTTTGATCAATTGGTACCAGCTGCCGCCACGATCAGCTCGCGATCTTATACTAATTATCGCCATGTCCGACCACCCCATAAAAATCACTGCTTGTAGAATGGTGGATCTATCTTTGACAACTTTTGGAAATGTGAGATAGTGTTTTTTTATAATCCTATTTTGCATTGAAACGTGCATCGTATATATCGATAATGATATTACTTTTATTATGGACTTTTTATCTTATAATGATAGAGTAATAGATTTTATTCTGAAAGCAATTAAAGTGTATTTTTGCATGTTCATTTTAGGTGATGAAAACTTCTTTAGCGTATTTGAGCTTCCTGCGAACTTTACTAATATAAATATAATTGAAATACTATTGTAGACACACTGAAGAATTGTTTTATATTTTTTAATGGTTACTTCTCACCTGCTTAATGTAGAAAGCCGTCATACGAATTGTAATATTATCCCGAACTTGAAAAATAAATGTTGTCTAAATCCATTTATTCTCTCCTGATTTTCCCCACTGTCGACAAACCATCTATGTGTACATGCATTAGTAAAATTAACAAAGAAATATTCCATTGTTTACACATTTTACACAAATGATTTCATCTTGGCATTTATTAATACTGGAGACATTAAGCCATAAATAGATTCTTCAAATATTTCCAAAATTACACTTTGAAAAACATTACGTTAACTTGCATTTCTTAAATTCATTAATTTTGTTTTAACATGCTTCACTTCTCAAATCCATCTCCATTTGGAATTGTTTGAACATATCTCAGTTTACATGGAAGGACGACAATGCTTCCTTAATCTAGAGCCGCCAGGATATAAGGTACGCCTTACACAGCTACTTCCCGGTAATAGTATCCACCTGATCTGTCAATCTGTCCGTCAGGCGAAGGGATGGCTGCAACGTCAGCGCATGTCCGGCAACCTTGTAATCAATGCCACGTCTCCGCGTCGTGCAGTCTTCAGCGGAACCTCTCATCGCGAACATGGAGATCTCACCCGATGGACAAGCGATATCATTGAACGCGAGTTACCAGCGAGATGTACGGTACATCTTTACACCCAGCAACTGGATTCTCGGTTCAATAGGCATCTGGCCGGTCGCGTTCCGTGGCATTGGGCAACATATTTCCAAACTCACTGTACTCATTTGCAATTTTGTATTAAGCTTCGCGATACTGCCCTGCGCCCTGCATATCATTTACGACCAGAAGGACCTCAACATAAGGCTCAAGCTCTCCGGACTCTTGGGCTTCTGCAGCACCGCTATGATGAAGTTCTTCGTTCTCGTGATACGTCGTCCAAAGATACGAGAGTGTATCGAACATATAAAAGACGATTGGTGGCAGGTTGGTGTTACCCATGCGTAAAATAAAAGTTACGAAACCGATAGGACGATGTTCTGTCTTCGCGAGGTTCTGAGGAGTGTTTTTCGATTGCGAAACAGTGCGCGGCATGTGAGGCAATTTCCAGGTGATTCTTAAGTGATTCGGTTTTCTTTTCATTGGGGCGATAATTCCTCTCTCTTCGTAATCGTCAGTTTATTTTATACAATTCTAATTTCACCGCATGATTTCTGTATTTATTTAACCGTTTTACAAATATCGTATTATCAGCCTTATATTGGAATGTTTCAATGTTAGTTCGTGTCAATTGTAGTTTCAAGTTTTGTTGATAATTAAAACTATACAACCCTTGTCTGAACCGCTAGTTTTTGCTTCAATCAAATTTATCATCTTCTAGTCTTAAATTTATAGGTTTAAAATGCTCGTATATATTTCCGGTATTTATCTCAGATGCACCAAAGCAAACTTGTCGCGAATTCGCTCCGAAGTAACGTCATTAATCTCGTGACATAATAAGTAACAGTTACTGCCGCTCATTCCTTCATATAGATAGGATTACTGGCAATACTGTGACAGGTGAAGTTCAAGCCCGAGCGCGAACTGATGTTGAAGTACGCCAGCGCCGGTCGCAAACTTTCCATAATCAGCGCATCTTCCATGTACACCGCCGGCTTCATTTATCACTTGGTCCTGCCGTTTTGCACCGTGCACAAAATCGCCAACCAAACGATCAGACCTCTGGTGTATCCCACTTACAGCCAGTTTATTCAGACCCAGGTGAGTCCGCTCTACGAAATTGTGTATCTGGCTCACTGCATGTGCGGATACACCATGTACACGATCACAGCCGGTTCGTGCGGCCTGGCGGCGATATTCGCCGCTCATGCCTGTGGTCAGATCGGCGTGATCGCGTCTAAACTGGAGGATCTTCCGCACGGCAAAAATTACGGGCAAATAACGGACGTTAATAAAAGAATTGCAGCCATCGTGAAGAGTCACGTTCGTGTATTGAGGTAACGCATCGCCGCCAGTTGGTTTATGATATAAATTAAAATCTAAGTGAGACGTGTTTATCGGGTCTGACGTTAATTTATGCACATCAAATAATTAAAAATTGCCATTAGAACAGAGTGTGTTTGGCAATTTGATATATGAATTAAAATTAATGACGAAATATCTTTACATGGTTTATATATTAAATATTTTCAACTCCAACACAACTTGGCGCGGTTGTGTAATTTTCCTTGCTTGTATATAACCTTTATCACCTATATATATGTAACTGTTATCACCTGTTGAGTTAGAGAAGAAATGTATATAAGCATTGAGTGAATGCAACAGGTGTCTCCCCGAGGAAACTCTAATGCGTTTCGTTAGATAGTACAGTTGCATATGTCAGACTATGCGCAACATACCCTATCAACATATATATATATATATATATATATAACTGCCATATAACGAAATATTTTCATATAAATGAAAGAAAATTTATAATTTTTCTTAATCAACTCTTTTATCATTACCTTTTAAACTCTAATTATTGTAGAACAATAAAATTTAATATATTTATACAAAACTTTTTTCAATAAATAATATCTCCTAATTAAATCGTTGCCGCCTCAACTTACTGCATTGATGCAAATACAATGATCTGTAAAAGCTAACACATGTATCGTAAATAATTATGATTCTTTTTCTAGATTCGCAGCTCTTGTGGATGAAATCTTACAAGAAGTATGTTTATTGGAATTTATCAGTTCTGTATTTACAATGTGCTTGCCCGAATACTTCTGTATAGTGGTGCGCAAATATATATTATTAATTTGTAAGGAAAATTCTCTGCAGTTCTAATTAATAATAATGACAATTTAAAGAACTCGAAATTTTAAGAATCACATATAAATATGATTTGCACAAAAATTTTGCTTAATGTTTATAATATGATAGGATTGGCAAGATAGCGACGCAGTCGGACTGACCACTTACTTTTTGCTGTTTATTTCATTTTGCTTCAATATGTACATATTATGCTATATCGGTGAGCTACTCATGGAAAAGGTATGTTTGTCTGACTAGATTTGTGATATTAAATTTCAATTTTCACAATTACAACTACATACAGCAACAATTATTATTACAATTATAAGCTATAGTAAGAAAAAAATAGATTATAAAATTTATTAAATATATGATTGCGAGTATAATATATTTTAGAGCAGCCAAATCGGATCGATTTGTTTTACGATTGACTGGTATCAACTGCCAGTGAAATCAATTCGCAGTTTAATATTAGTAATCGCTATGTCAAGCCATCCCATAAAGATTAGCGCTGGTAGAATGTTAGACCTATCTTTGGCGACTTTTGGAAATGTAAGGAATATTGTATGGAGCATTTGTATGGAATTTGCTTCATATTTTAATGTAAAAAAACTAATTCCATAATTATTTACTTGAAATATTTTTATTTTCCTAATATATGTTCCATGTTACCACTCAGATAGTACAATATCCAAAATCAGAACATAAGACGTCTTTAAGACATCTTTAAAATGTCTTAAAGACTTTTGTGTCTCGATTTTGGACATTGTGCTATCTAGGTATATTCTTAGTGTAAAAGAGACAAAAAATGATAAGTGAAAAGAAAGATGTCCATGTTATTTTGATATATTTCTCTTAGGTACTCAAAACAAGCCTGGCATATTTAAGCTTCCTCCGGACTATAATAATGTGAATATAATAAAAAAAAACTACTATATAGGATATATATTTAACATGTGTTTAAAATAAAGAATATCAAATATAACATTTTTTGTACAATGAAGGATCTTCTTAGACAAAATGTGAGTATTACATGCAATAACCAAAACTTTAACAGGGTACTATTTTACTAATGTTTATTATTATATTGTCTCAGAAAATTAAACTTCCTAAAAAATATGCCTTTTTCAAAATTATTTGAATCTCATATTCTTTGCTTTCTCACTGGACAAATAACTTTCTCTTTCCTACGTAGCAGCTCTTGTGACTTAAATGTCATAATTGGAAATTATCGACACAGCATAAAACAGAACCATAAATATGATGTGTTACCCATTGAGAAAATTGCAGACATAGCTACGTAGTTCCACAGTTACGTTTCATGATGACAGCTCGCAATATAGAACATTAATGCGCAGACGCGATGATTCTCAGCGCCCTCAGTATTCTCTGTTCTGGAAAGCGCAGTAAAAGCAGGTTATTTCCATAGACACAAGATTGAGAAAATAAAATGTAAATCCGAAATGTGACACCCGAAGTAAAAGTATAAAATTCCTATAATATATAATCATTAATTGTACTTGATTATATAAATGTGAATATTATATACTGATGATAATTGCGTTATTTTCTACATAGTGCTTTATTTTATTCAACTTATCTTTGATGTAGTGTTGTGTATTTACCATGTGTAACAAAGAAAATGGATACAGTAATTGTTTTGTAACACACATTTGACTTACAAAAATATATAATTTAATTATATACCTAAAAAATATTTTGTGAAATTGAAGCGAAGTGTGATGAAATTTGATTAAAATATCAGTGAATCTCAATAATCTCATGTGAAAACTGTGTATATTTTGCATATGTTGTTACATCATACCCAAAAATGTCTGAGAAAAAAACCATTGGAAGTATTCCTGTGGAATGTCTAACTGGAGAACCAGCTGCGATATGGTCTGGCTGGCGTATTCTGGGAGACAGAGAACTTGTCAGAGAAGCTTCTGCTAAGGGAACTCACATAAAGTTAGCTTATAAGTGCCTTGCGTACAGAAGGCAATGTAATTTGGATCAAGCGTGCATTTACTTCAATAAGGAAGTAGAAATTTGGATCAATGAGCTCTTAAATAAAAAACAAGTTTACAGAGCCTCACATATTCTAAAAAATATAGTAAGTTACTTGTATTGAATTGTACTACATGTGTATATGGAATAATAAGTGTATAATACAGAAAAGAGTTACTTTTTAAACATGACATGCTGTTACTTGTTATTCGTTACCTATCGAAAGAACATCTCATTACAGGATGGAAAGAATTACTTTTTAACAGTAACATGCTGTTATTCATTACTCGTTACTTATTAGGAGAACTTGTCATTAATGTTACATTTTGAAAAATATCTTTTTACTATTATTGTTATTTAGATAGCAATGAGTTGCTATAACCTCCATTACTTTTTTCCATGAAATTTTAAAAAGTATTTTCTTGACGATTTGATGCTGCCCAAGTATATGTACTCTACTGTTGCAATTAACCATAAAAGTAATGATTATACTTGTTATTATTACCAAAAAAATATGATTATGTTACTCCTACAGTTACAATCAATAAATACAAAGCCTTGATTAAACAGTTACTGGTAAAAACAACTTGCAACATTAACAGCATGTAACTTCTCATGTCAGATAATAAACAGATAAGCATGATGGTAATATAAAAATATATAAATGTGAATTCTTTTCACAGGGAAAAAATCCTGTAGAATATATTTTCGCTGTTTCTACAAAGAGCAGGAATCCACTTTTGAGAAACTATTTGTGCGAGTACATGATGAAGATTAACGGTTTCGAAGCTGAACACATCGCAGCTTGGAATATTATTAAATGTATTACACAGTATGAAGAAAAATACAAGTGAGTAAATAAGATTACAAGATACGTATCATTCAATAAGATAAAAATTGATGAAAGGCGTTTCACAGTTGCAGGGCCCAAAATGGATTAAGTTCTTGTATATGTATAGATGATGTAATGAAGTTACCACAAAATATCAAACAAGCCTTATGCACTGAACTATACTTTTCTCTAAGTAATCCAAACATCTTGGAAAACGTCTCGAGTACTACCTTATGGAATTATTTATTATCTAATAATAAAGTCAACGAACTGAAGTTGTGGATTGACACGAGATATCATCCTGATGCCTTGCAAAATTCAGATCAGATTGATCGAAGCTTAAAATCATTATTTGTGAATCTCAACATTACAACCGACATGATTGAATGTATAGATTCGTCAAATGCTAGTGATCTTGTAAAAGATTTAGTAAAAAATCATTTATGTAGGTACGTAACAATATTCAACGTACGTGTGTCTTATGTCAATAATAATAATAATGCTCTAACTAATCATGTGAATTTGTGATTTTAGATATGGAGTATGTATAAAAAAAGAAGAGGATGATTTGAAATTAATATTAAGTCGCTTTTTTAGTTCCGGTATTACATTGGAAGAACTTAGTGAAACGGTTTTACCGCTAGCTTCCTGTAATATTCATAAAACGGAATTTCTGCAGACCGTTGATCGACAGTTGTGCCTTACACATTGCGCGCAGAAGTGCCATACTCCAGAAGAGAACTCAAAATTTGCCGAATTATACGATGTATTGACCGACATGTGTAATACTCAAAATTGTCACGAAGATGTGTTAATACGTGGCATCGTTAAATCAATTGATTACATCTCCGATGACTTGGCCGACTATCTGAAAGCGAATTATTTGATAAGCTTCGCACTGATATTTTTGCAACTGTGGCGAAGAAGGAACATGTTATGCAACGAAACGAACAGTTTTGTTGAAAATAGGTTAATAAGAGACACATTTGCAAATCCGGATGGTTTAAGTGTCAACGCACATATTATTCCTCAGGAAGTTCTTCAGCATACACTGACACGCGCACCTGCTCTGCAATACATCATCGAAGACCGACCCAAGAAAACTGAAATTACAGTGTACGAATTATTGGACGGCTATAAAAATCTGAACACGAAACTCTTGTTCAAATGGCGTTTCAGAAGTGAACCCATGCCCACTTTTGCCAGCGAGAATCTTATTAAGAAATATGGGTATGAAGAAACGCTAACGTACGGCTATTATCTAAAAGAAGGCAGACCAAACATGGCTGTGCATAGTTTAAAACACGCTCAAGCTAAATTACTCGGAAACGTCTCTTCCCAAAGGTTCGTACGCACGATGAAAATCTTTGCTTCGCTGCGGTGTTAACGATGAAAATAATTTTAGGAAATCCAAAGCGGCCTTATACGCGCATATTCTTGCTTTGAAAAATTTAGACAAGTCTGATATCGTGTGTGGTTGCATCGCCTTTATTGAATTGCTGGGAGTTGATTCGAGCAATTTACGATTGTACGTTACTGTGGCGAAATATGTGCAGGAGCAACTAAACATTTCAATAGGTGAGACGCACCGAGTTGGCGCGTACGATATTCGTCTATATGGAAATACAAATAAATAAGACATACTTTTTATTATAGGAAATTTATTAGAAAATGTAATATATAAGAATCTACACGATTTGAAGTCTGTGATGTCTTATCTAGAGCAAAGTTTCCAAAAACATTTGCTAGATGATACTTTGACGAGCGATGATATACAATTTGTTGAAGCATTGAGAACATGGGACATTATTGTACGCTTCGCGCGTGTTCACAATAGCACACTGCCCAGTATATTACTGAAATATTTAGCAAATCATGATTTATGGTTCGAGTTCGTCACAGTCAGCCAAATATTCGCTTACCCCACGAAACAGGTACGTGTGCAGAAAATAAACGCTGATCAAAAGTACATTATCGATCAAATAATTGGAATCGCACGATAGGTATTAGAAAACGCCAAGTTGTTTGACAACGCAAGCATACGGGAACATTTGCTAACGTGCTTGAGCAACAGCAAGCTCAGTAAAGCCCAACCATGTAACGAACTGAAACTGAAATCACGCGACTCAAGGCACTCGTTGTACAACAAACCGGAGCAAAATGTACGATCGTTATTATTTGTTAATTATCGTAATTTTTGTACGAAAACGATTGTAACTGTAAGAAACATTTCTATGGTGTCCTCTAGGATTCTCCAACGTCAACTGTATCTGGGACTGACATAAACAACCCCGAGGCAACTGATGCAGAACATGCCACTGGCAGTCACCTTTCGTCTTTTAAGGACAATGATTTATGGTTAACTATACTAAATTGTCACCAAAGTCAAGACCCGCCTGGAAATTTGATCAATGCGTCTCGTTCGACTCTCAATCCCATACTGACTATCTTGGCTACGTGTTACGAGGTTTTCAATTTAAACAACTCAGCGATAAGTTAGATTTTTATCAAGGTTGGGTAATAACTAGTTACTCGGTTAAAAGTTAAGTTAAAAAGTTAATAACTTTTAACTTAACTAAGATAATTTTATAGGCTATTAACTTTTAGTTAAAAATAAAAATTAATTTACCCAACATTGGATTAATTTTCCATTGTCATAACTTGAAAAGTGTTTTTGTTACAGCCATCCTCAGTAGCGGCGTATTGTTATTGTTGGATGGTGATATCAACAGGGAGGGATGACGTACTCCTCGATTACGAAGAATGTCTGGAGCAACAAATATGGCCTGCCAATAAAGTAGCAGAATTGCTGAGTAAAATGATTCAGTTTGGTTACACCAAGACGCTTAACAGAGCTTATAAGATTTTCATGCCCGTAAGTTAATATCTGTATTACGACAGCAACGAAATAAACATCATTTTTTAGTGTAACTAACAATAATATATCGCAGGACAGCGTTTTGAACCCGTTCTTCGAGTTTCTGGCACAGGCAATCACTTACGGCGAATTTAAGGAGAGTCAACAGCACTTGTCGGAATTCAAGTCGCAATGTTCCTCACTTAAATGCAATGTATGTAGATACGATCAGGGAAGGAAACAATTCTAACATACTATATGATCTTAAACATTGCCACTTGGTCGTTTTTCAGAGGATTATGGACTGGTCGAGTGTCGATTTGACATACTTCAAGAACTTGTATTGGGTCGCGATCGTTGCCACCAAATGCATTGTTACAGCGCTCGGCTATGGCTTTCAGAGTACACCGTTACGTGTAAAGCTCCTCGAAACATTAATTAAGTGTAATTTTTCTACGGACTTACCCGGTAAAATATGCACAATTTAATTGCAATCGGAATCTTAACTTTGCCAGACGGTCATTACTGGATAACTCATGAAATTGTTGTCATACATTGCAGTTAAGATACCGGATTTTCAATGTTTGTTGGATATAACGAGAATCTTACAGAAAACCGACGTGACGTTAAATTTTGCCGCTGTCGTCGTAGTCGATAATGTGTATAATTTTGACACGGAAATTCAGAGATGCATCAGCAATTTAGTGGCGATCGAGAATTATAGCACTGCCTTGGAATTGTCGTGCACCGCTGGATTGCACGCATCTGAAATCATATTAGCGCAAGTAATAATAAAAAAAGATGTTTCGAGAAATGTGTCACGTTGAAAGCATGTATTGTTTCCATAAGTGTGACATTATTTTCAGTCCCGGAAAAATTTTAAAGAATCCATAAATAGAGATGGCCAAGTAAATTCTGCATTCTGGATGCAGTGCGCTCAGGATTTCAATAAGTACAACGTTCCTCCTCAAGTGGCGGTCGAATTTTTTGTCGGACATGCCGAGAAAGTTATATCGCACAAAGAGAGGTAAATAAATTTTGATACAACTCAGTATGTTGACATTTCGATTTAAATAACACGAATACCGATCGTTTTACATAGATACGAGGTTTTAAAGTTAGCCTATGAGACTTTGAAAAATACCGAAATCGAGCGACAAACCATCGATACACTGGAGATGGCCATGTGGAAATCATGTATCTTGGCCGGGCCTGAAAATATACAGTTCGATTGTAATAATAACATTTTTAATAAATTAAAAACCGAATTACTCTCCGGCCTGGACAAATTGGAAGTGGCTTGCTCACTGGACGACGAAAATGAAAAGGATTCCGCGGAAATTTTAATCAATCGACTGATTGAATTGGGCCAATTGGATATTGCTTTACGAATAAGCGTGATTTTTAATTACAACCATAAAGTAAGAATCATTTGTTCATCTTAATAATTTACAGAAATATATGTGAACTGAATATTAAAAACAAAAAACGCGTTTGTTCTGTATATGTAGGATTTACAAATATTAATGCTGTGCCTAAGTTTAGCGGAGGGTGAAATTTCACCGGCAAAGTTGACCGCACAGCAAAGGAGTTTCTTAGAAGAAGCTAAAAGCAAACAACAAAAACATGGCACTTTACGCAATCGTGGCCTGCAGAGGTTATCCTCATCATCATCTCGTATGCTTTTTCGTATTCTTTTTCTAACATCGATATTTTCCCATATGAAAATTTTTTACGATTCTGCTGTATTAATTTGTAAATAGAATTATATTGACTTGTCGTTTTAAGATTATTTAATCTTTAATGTTTCCAGTAAATTCAATTGGGGAAGCCAGTAAATCGAATGATTCAAAGGTTATCAGCAGCCACCAACACCAAATGGAATATATTTCAACCTTGGAAAAATTATCGGAAACTCTTCAACATGGAAATACGATATGTACGAGAATTATTTCATGTTATAAGCTCGCTGTGCGTCTGAAAAAGACTTATCAATCACTGCTGATGCTGAACAATCCTATCAAGTTCCTACAAGATATTACGGAAAGTCATGTCGAGAATAAATGTGAGATCGCTAATAACATAATAACGTCTTACAAGATCAAGACGGAAGATGTTGCGATATTCCTCACTGAAAATATCATCGTGCACATTACTCGCGCCATAGAAGGTAACTGTGAAAACCACTGCGTGCACTTCTCGTGTATCTAGTATAATTGTTTCAATGTGAAAATAACGACACCGTTAATTTAATTACAAGATGGATCAGAAGACTTTATCTCTATGTGGGGATATCCTATAAATACACATTTCCACTTAATAATGGAGCTTTGCAGCGATACCTCGTTATTAGGTTTAAAATTGCTACAGGCAGCACAGTCATTGCTAGGGAGATACGTTAGTTCTCATGATGAGAAAAAAAATGGTAATTTGCCTGTTTTCTTCATAGTTAATATTCATTAACGATTGATTTCTTAAAATGGATCAATACTCATGCTTTATTTCTGCATATTTTCACGTTATAGTATCAACGTTGAAAACAATAGTGGAATTATTGATAAGATCCCATGATTGCTTCACGGCTTCCTGCAACATGGAAGGAATAGCGTCCGTATTACGAAAGTGTCAAAACCTCGCGAACACGTTACAAATCTTGAAACATTGGGCATTATTGGTATGTCAATTGCCTTTTTATTGAGCTGTTAATCATTCTCAACATTCAATAATTCGTTTAAATTTCCCTCTGCATCATTAGGTGCGTCTAGTAACCGGCGTTGGCCGATTTACCGAGATGAATTACATATTTCAAATCTTGAAAGAAAATGATCATTTCGAGTTCCTACTGGGAAAAGGTTTGGACAAGGTATTCTCGCCCGAGCGATAAGTACATCAACTAAACGTGTACTTTTAATTAACCGATTAATTAATTGAATATATTTTTTTTACAATCGTGAAGATACCGGGTCTAAAAATGGCACTGCTGGAATTCTTGAAGCGTCAGAGTCCGGAAGATAAAGAGCTGTTTACGTTGGTGGCGCTCCATTTTCGTTTGTATTATGAGATCGCGCTCATGTGGGAAAATGAAGCGAAGGAAATAATTACAAAGCTGATTTCCGATGCGTCGAAGGAGTGTGGAAGAAGCATGACCGATGTTCCCGCGGAAGTCAAATTGACTCGAAATGATAACGTCCAAAAGCAACTGCAATTAGTTGTGACTAACTTTACTCATGCCACGCAATATTACTTGCAGGTAGAACACTGAGATCGCATACGCGACATATTTGTTTCGATTAAAAATCATCACCGGAAACGATATATTTTGCTTCTAGGATAACAAATTAAATCTCGCTAGTCGGTGCTCTCATCAGGCTCAACTCGTCGCCCTTCAAATCGCACTGTTGAACGCAGTGCCGCAAAATCAGCAAGCGATTTGCCTCCTAAATCTGAAAGGCGACGATTTGGACAGGATATCGTCGCAAATCTTGAACTTTCCTCAGACACTCATCGTTATACGCGCTTATAACTACCATGTGGATTGGGCGAATCTCATTTATCATCACTGCGTCCTCGGAGGAGATATAAAATATCTTAAAGAGTTCATGACGGTAAACAGCCTGACGCCTGCGATTGTGCAAGATTGTACACGCAGGTGGGTTTAAAGTGCGATCTATATATTGTTTTTCAACACGTTTTATATATATAAATCATTTCCTTAAATTGTGTATGTGTGAATACGTTTCGTTATTCTTATAGGTACAGATTGGAAAAGAATATGAATCATTCCATGACGAACAATATAAGAGCTCTGGTGCGTGAATTAACAGACGTCGAGTGTAAATACATGCTAGCTAGTCAGCTCGGATTTAAGAGTATCGCGGAAGAAATGCACAACGATCCTACAATCGGTTCTTATTTGAAAGATACGATCTGGAAAAAAGGATACAATGCTCCATGATTGAAACGTCACTTGTCGCTCGGAGGAATTCTAAGTAATTCTGGTCTGATAAGAAATACCGCAGACCTCAGTGCTATGACAAACTGTGTTACAAACTCACCCATTGTTACCGCAAGCAATATGAAAATGTACATGTTCATGTTTCATTATTTTCTTATCAATAAACAGTATTTTTTATATTATATCCTATGATGTTGTCTAATAAGCTTTATAATATATTTTATCTACACTTATACATTTTTATCATTAAATTAATAAAAATAACCAAGATAGAATTTATATCTCTTATTTAAAAAATTATATTAGAATATATAATATACATATATATATATATATATAACAGCAATTCATTGGCAAGTCGGATAAAATTTCCTTTCACTGTTACAATTCAACGAGAGATTGAAGGATCTTTTACTATCAAGTCGGTATCGTACAGGCGTTTATTCGACGTTCACATAAACTACACGTTTCTCCGTGAGATGCCGACTGTTATGTCAATAGAAACCGCTGAAACTAAAAATTCCGCACTTTTACGCACAGATTTAGAATCTGGCGATATAAATAACATAAAAAAGATTTTATGTACAAAAAGTTTGAATAAAATTGAATAATATATAAAGAATACATATTAATCGTCCCATCTTCTTTGTACAAGATTAGCTGTTATAATTCCTCGTATATAATATGAACCTTTACATATATAAGGGGCTTCAAACGTTTATTATCTTGGAGGTAAAATAAAGCACAAGAAACATTGTCAGATAATAATACCGCGCAATTATTTTACTCAACGTGGGAAATGGCCCAATTTGTCATTTTAAAGTATGCAATTTTTTATGCTACTGAGTACTGGCACGGTCTTAGCGCGATTCCGACCTTATTACTGACATTTAGCATTTTAACGAGTCGTCTTTTTCAGGAACTAAAACGCACCGCGCGTGTTTGTAAATAGAAGAGAAACGGAAAACGAAAAGCGTGATATGTCACTTTCTTATTTATTATGCAAGGTTTATTACCTTTACGGAACGCGCATTTAAAGCTTTCTCCTCACGCTTCGATATAACGTGCATTTTTCCGCGAATTAAAGCCGCGCAGTTTTTATTTTACATTCCGAACTACCTTTTCATAGAGGTCAAATGGCGCACTGCCTAAGAAATCCGACGTGTCCCCTTTTGAAAACAGAGAACACGCATTCAAAGGGGTTCCTCATTCGATGCTGGCTGCAATTTGCTGCTATTTGCTTCTATTCGTCGCGCACGGGGAATCTTTCCGTAAGTGAATGCACGTGAACGAGCATACGGCAGAAAAATATTCCCGCTTGACGATTTCGCGCATCTAGCGTCTTTATTAGAGTAATAAAGTCACACGATTCAATATACCATAGAGTTTTGTATGAACGAATGAAAAAGCATTTGCACGCCCAATCCATTTTAGGATTTAATTTCACACGGAAAAAAAGCATGTCTCTACAATACGATACGTCAGTACAAATGAAAAAACAATTTATCAAAATTCATCCAAAGAAAGATTAGTGTTACGTTCACTTATACGTAAAACTTTACGCATTCATAATTTCAAAATACAATTCTAAATGTATGAAAGAATTCATTTATATTCCCGACGGTTGTCCTTAAAATAATTGCAATCGTAATTTTAGTCTCCCTCGTTCCAGAGAGCCGCACCTTCTTAAATCACAATTTCATCCCCGACATTATGCGAGAAAGATTATTGCAAATATTTCGCTTGCATCTCATCGGTAAGCCGACGCACGTACGACGCGCGATTTACAACGGCACGAAGGGCGAGTGTCCGTCGCGGGGGAAAATTTACGTGTAACGTCGGATCTACATCTTACCTTCCCGTTCCGCCCCGACGAGAGCCCGCTCTCACCGCGCGTATAATTTCGGTATTTATGGGATTAATGCCTTCTGCGCTTCTCTATACGCGATACCACACGGGGAGATGGGTTTTCGATAGATCGATTAGACCAGCTGGCACAGGCACGCGCTGCTAAGCCGCTTATGCCGGCGCAGCCCCGGTGAAGTTTTGCGCTTTTTTTGGAAATTCGCGCGCGCTATAATCCGACAGGCGCAGGCATTAACGGTAATTTCGAGGGAATGGAGTGATAATTGATCCCGCAGAGGGAACGGCAGCAAGATCGAACGTACGGGCTGCCGTCGCGTGCAACCCGTGTCTCTGTCACGCGGAATTCCACGCGTGAGCTCACGCTCCTCGAATGAATCCTTTCGTATTGTCCTTACCGTAACACGACACACACGCAAGGGAAAACTTTTGTCTCTTAAAAATAGGCTAATATCGGTTCAAATCGAGTATCAGCCTATTATTAAAAATTAGCCATCGGGAATTAGTGCGTCGAAACGAAACTTATAGAGGAACTCGCCAAAACTGACCTGGGTACGGTAAATCGACATACCCGTGTTTCTCGGCTGTTAAAGTACCGTTAAACCCTGCCGGATAGTACATGAATTTCCGTCTACTGTGCACGGTAGTTAGAGTTGAAGCAACAGTTTCTATTTGTGAATGCGTTCGGCTCTGTTTATTAGCGTCGTTTGAGTTCTCGTGGTGCTGAAGATTTGTTGAAGTTTCTCCTTGCGCATATTAAAGCAACAAATGAGCGGCGAGTAATTTATTCGACAATGCTGTTTTATAGTGCGAACTTTCCAAGTCACTTTGATTATCTCCTGCCAATTTTTATCTTTTGTCATTGAACCACGTAAGAAGTTAAAATTAGTTAGATTTGGTGAACCGAGATACCTAAGTTTACCGGTCTTTCGAGCGATATACATGAATTTTTCTATGAAATATCATTTCTCGAAATACAGTTGGAGCTGCCGGTGACTGATTTTCCCCCTTTTTTTCTGGTTTGTTTGTTTAAAATGATCAAAAAAAGTCAGAGAATCCCTTTCTACATAATAATGGAGCAACATACATAGTAAAATTTTTTTAATTTAAAAGATAAACGTAAGAGACTAAGGATAACATGTGTAAAAATATACAATAAATATATAAAATAATGTAATTCCAGTGCTTTTACTTTTTTCATAATTTCTGTATAAATTCAAAAAAATTGTAAGGGACGGCCTGTAAAAGCCGACGCACGAAAGTCGTAACGCAACAAAACTTCTTTAAGAATTTTAACTGTCGGAATTCATTTCTTCTGCATCTCGTTCTCCCAACTCTTCTCTCGCGAAAACGTAAAAAGTATCCAATTTAATCCGTGCGCCTCTCCTTTTATCCCACTCAGCCGTGAACGTTACGTCGAAATCCGGCGGACTGAGCCAAGAAGATTCCATCAAGGAACACGGTTCGGCAAGAAATACTGTTATAGTTATTCAAAAAATAATTCAATCACATTCAACGTCAAACGTTACACGGATCCTAGCTCTTCAACGTGACGACGACATAAGACCGTCCACTCATCGACGCATTAATCGAATATAAAATCCGATATGAAGTTAATAGCGCGATCAATTAACGAAAGTGCCGTCAGCTGCGGCGTAATTGACAAAGCGTTTTTGTAATAACAATTACACGCGTATCGGTTGAGCGCAGTCGGGATAATTCCGAGCGGGCCGACTATAGTTCCGTTATAGCTGCTGCCGACGCGAGAAAAAGGACGTCGGACGTCGAGCATCTCAGATACCGAGGTCTAATTTAGCCGCGTGCCGCTGCTCACGAATAATCGATATATCGACTTCGCCGTGCGACGATTGAATGCCAATAAAGTGGTCGCGGGATAAAGTCGAAGCGCGTCCGGTTTCACACACCGAAGAACGGCTCGATAACGCGCCGCTATAATTAATTCGTGCGTTTGCGCGCGTCAATCAGCGAAGATCAAAAGTGCTAATGGTTATTATCCACTCGAAAATGAGCAAATTCATTATACGAGTCACCGATGAATACCCCGCGTTCGTTCGTCCGTCAATCGGCCGGGAATCGCGATCCGACGCGATTAGTCACGTCAATTGTAGTACATCGCGCGGTAATTGGCGTAATAATTTTATTTTCCCCCCTTTTTTCACAATCATATTTTTCTCCTCCTCTCCCATCGATTCCGTGGATCGTCGCGAAAACGCTGTATAAATGCCGCTATCTCCATTCGCAGTCGGAAGCGAATGAAGATATCAACGTTAAATCGTGCTCTCGCCTTTTCCTTCTCTCTCTCTCTCTCTCTCCCTCTTTCTCTCTCTTGACATTCACGTTTCGGACATTCGGACGAAAGTAGGGCCGTAATTCTGAGTTATGCCGAGCATTTCGCCAGAGATTACAAGTTACAAACGAGCCCCATATATCGAGGGATTACATCCCGCTTGATGCTGTATTGAAAGAAGCGGCCGGGCGGCCTGAGCAAACAAGTCGTCGGCAATTCGTCGGCCTTCAGCTCGCACTTTAGCGAAGGAACGTCGTTAATAAAGGACGACGCGCGCGCGTCGATAATGCGCGGACTCGAAACGACATATGCTTGTGTCAATAATCGCGCGTAATTCATCGTCGGAAATTACGCGCGAGGACGTTCGGCCGCGCGCGACCTTCCCCGCGCGTGAATTCCCAGTGCGTGCTCCTCTTTAGGTCCCTTTTCATCATCGCTCGTGTGACGTCGGCCGCGTGAAGAGAAGAAAGTGCGCGAGTCCTGACGCGCCATTCGCATCGCACCCAACATTAGAATACGGTAATTATAACGTGCGTCCTTCCTCTCTCTGTCTCGTTCTCTCTCTCTCTCTCTCTCTTCGATGTCCTCCTCTCCTCCTTTGTTTCGGATCTCTCTCGTCATTCTTGACGGGCGCAAATTCAATGGCGGCGTAATCAATAAAATCTAATTATTGGAAAAACTGCCGATCTCTCTCTGCTAAGCTTTCGGGTTTAATCCGACCAAAAGGACGAGGCGGGCACAATATGACGCGGGCTGAATAAACTTGTTTCCTCGAATTCACAGTAACGCACGATTGTGCGTGACTCGATTCTTCGATATTCAAATGAAATAAAATGAAAAGGAGAGGATTAATAAAAATCTAAAGAATAATAACGGAATCGAGCCTGACTTCTCTTCCTCTCTCTTTCTCTCAAAAAATTACATTCCGACGCACGTATTTTTTCACGATTTATTTTCAGACTCAAAAGAGTAAGAAAAACTGTTGGAAAAGGAGGAGGAGGAAGGGGAAAAGGAGAAA